AGTCAATAGTAATGGAAAAGTTAATTGATGTGTCATGGACTTATGACAAAAAAAATTCAAACCTTATGTGATATATGTTAATATGTTTGGCCCACATACCTGTGACACCATTGTTGCCCATGCTGCACCTGCAATACCATAGCCTAAAAAACTGCAAAGGACTACATCACCAATGCCATTTATAACACTAGCTACAGCCAAGGCCTTCAAAGGACCCCAGGAATCTTTCATGCCAAGACTGGGAAACAGATTTAGAATATCAGAGTATGAACACGATCTCATTAACCTCAGCAATTAAAATCCCCTGCCAGAGATAACTTTCACTTAGGCAATAAATACGTATTTCAAGTCAAAATATGAATGCTTGTTTTATACTGGTTTTTGACAAGTCAGAGAACTTTCCTTAGGCAATAAATGCGATTCAAGTAAAATAAGAATGCTTGTTCACATTTGTTTTTTCCATGATAGTTTATAAAATCATTCATGTTTTGCAATGCCTAAAATGGTGCCAAACTTTCTCTAGCAGTTATTTCTTCTCACCCAAAAGATTTAATAATCCCTGTGTTAAAAAGATTTAAGACTTACAATATCCATTATGGTGTTGTTGCCAATGACTTTGAACAAAGAAGACAACTACATCTTCAAAGATTTTATAGATTCGTTTCTAATCATGAACTCGCTAGATGTTTATGCTGTAGATAATACATGGAAAAGTGGAAGAGACATGTAACCTTGCACTCTGAGTAACCCAACCAACAAGAATTGCAGGCCATGCCAAACCTCGTATCTACCAACAGAAAACATTCTGTTCGATTAGAAAGTCTTTAAAAGAAATTAAGTGCAGGAGTATGTCGCAGACAAAACCAGGACAAGGAATCTATTTACTGGTCATAGAAGAAGAAGTATAAGGGTATGCGAAGAAAGATAACACATACAAGTGGGGGACATCATAATAATCAGTTCGAGAAAAGATTTGGTCTGAGTTCCACCTACGAATGAGATATTATTAAGAAAGAAGCTTTCTTTTCGTGCACAAATTAATGGTGTAGATACATTTTTCAGAACTCTTTCGCATGTATCGACGTGGACCTCACATATGATAAATATAAACATTGCCAATAGCCCAAAAAAAATAAAGAAGAAGAAGAACCTTTTACGTTATATCTTGACAAGATAATGCAAAGTCTACCACATTATCATTCTAGGCATACAAGACCTTATAATGACTAAGAGAAAATGAACAAAGAAAAAGGAGCTTTTATGATATTTTAACATTTCCTGACCAGGTAAATGATTTAAAGGAAACCATCTTCTCAAAGAGGAGTAACCAACATTTTAAGCTCAAAGGAAAGGCACCTGAACATATGTATTTGCTGCAGGAATAATATGCGCATTCTTTGATCCAGCAAAAGCTGAAAAGTTAGAATTGCGTCAGTCATGACTCTTCTATATATGCTACTTTTACAGACCCAGAAAACTCTCATATTCTACTAATGTGCTAAAATGCTTTAATCAATAGAAAACAAACAAAATCAAGCACTCAATCTTTCTGTAATGTAAAGATATTGAAAACCAGTTCTTATTACCAGTTAGCGCCCATGAACCGAAAAATCTTGTAAATAAAAGCATTAAGCAGCCACAGGTCAATCCAACAAAGAGCAAGATGGATATGTGATGCTGCACTTCATTTCTATCCTGCACCAATACTAGATAATCAAACAATATACCTAAATCATGCAAGAGAAAATAGTGATTAACATTGCATACAATCCTGCACAAGAATTCGAAAGTCAGAGAAATAAAGAATTTTAAAGAAAGAGAAACGTGGTTTTATGTCATTGCAATAAATGTACTTAATGGCGACATATCAAAAATTCCTAATCTGGCAACAACTCCCACTCTGTTTAGCAGCCTTGAAAGTTCATACCTTCTCAACTTCTGAATAACACACAGTACAATTCATATAATACTCAAAAATTCCTTGAAAATTTGCACTTAATTCCCTAAGAAAATTTTGAATCAGTTTGACAAAAAAGTACCCAAAATTGGAAAGTGCAAGTCAAACTCATTTTCTTATCAACACAAGCATACACATTTATCCACCACAGAGGCATCTGGGATCTGAAGAGAAACTAACTTACCCCCTTTGCAAGCGCAGTAGCAATCATATTTGAAGTTGCAATAGAAAGGAACATGAACACATAACTCATATTATCACACATCACAGTTCCAGGGCCTGCAAAAACCAATAAACAAAAAAACCCAAAAAAAAAAAAAAATGAAGTACCTAAAGCAGCAAGCTCAAGAGAGCTTCCCCGGCCAACCACAACAGTGTCGATGAGGCTCATAAGGGGCCCACAAATCCAAAGCCCAGTGGCGGGTCCTGTAAACATTACAATCTCCTTCATTTGGTTCCATAAGCTCTGACTCTCCAACTCTTCTTTCTTCACCTCCACAACTTCTTCAGACACTAAAGAATCTTCCCCATCATCTCGTTCACGAACCCCGTCGACAGTGCAGGCGGTCACCAGCCGATTACGACGGCGTATTGGGGGTGAGAAGCGTAGCTTTGGGAGGCCAGATGTGTGGTTAAGGCCTGGGGTCAAAGAGAAATACGGTGGGTTGGTGAAGAAGAGTGAGGGGTGAGAAAGAGAAGTGTGAGTGAGGTTTTGGAGGAGAGGGGAGTGAATAGGGTGATGAGCTATCAGGGTTTTACTTGGCATTTTTGTTCTTTTTCAAATTTTACGGGAAAATGGGGGCAGAGAAAGTTCCACCCAAGAAAGAAACACAGAAGAATGACAGAGGTACACTGGAGAAGATGAAGCTTGAGACAGTGATGGTTTATATAGGTTTGGATTCAAATGAAATGGGCTGCTGCCACGTGGAAGGTTGTCGGCCTTTTCTTCCCTATATCCTATTGGCTATCTGTGATGGCTTTTCGATTTTCCCCTGCTGACGGCTTACGAAATATAACTAAATATATCATAATTTTTTTGTTATATATATATATATATATATAAATCAAAAGATAAGGAATGATGAAACATTCAAAATATCAGAAAATGCTCTTGGGTAATTTAAATATTAAAAATTAAAATTATTAATTAAATTATGATAATATGGTAAATTCATATTTTTTTCATATTAAAAAAATTAAAATTAAAAACAAATCATATAATAAATCATACTTTTATGAAACATAACTATCCATGTTAATTTTTATTAATTCTAAAAGGAAACCCAGTTGGCACATGCGTGAGCATGTACCAAGGGACTAGTAAAAATTACTACAATTTTTTATACTTTATACATTGCATCATAAGGTAAATCAGTAACTTAATAACACATAATCAACTAGCTATTGGTGTAGTCTAGTGGTATTCTTATTTGCCTCTACCATTGGTTAAAAAGAAACTCAATAACACCTTTTGAGGTACAAAGTTAAGCGGTCCTTCTTCATGATGGAGTATATATACACAGGGACTTGTGACTTTATCTATAATATATAAAGTAAAAGGTAAAGAATGGTGAAACATTCAAAATACCAGAAAATGTCTTTTGTTAATGCAAATATTAATAATTGAACTTATTAATTAAATTAGGATAATATGGTAAATTCACAATTTTTCATATTTAAAAAAAAATAAAAAAATCAGATAATATATCCTATTTTTATGGAACACAACTACCTATTATTATTTTAATTTTAAAATAAATTTTTTTAAAAAATTATTATTATTTAAAAAAAAAAAAAAAAAAACTCAGGGACAAATCCGGCTATAAAAATCGGTTATAACCTAGCTTCTTGTGGCTTTGTATATACACAGGGACAAATCCGGCTATTAGGCTGTATGGGCTGTAGCCCATGCCCTTTTATTTTAGTTGCCAATATCTATGTAGTCTCTCTCTTTAGCCCATGTATTTTTTTGTTTATATTTTCAATACCCATGTTCTCTCTTTTTCTTATTTTCTTCAATTCTCTCTCTCTCTCTCTCTTCTTCCTATTTCTTTTCTTTTTTCCTCCTTTCTCTTGTCATTTTTCCTTCGTTTCTCCATTTTTTGTAGTTTGGATTTACTACTAATTGAACTTTTTCCCACAGTTTCTTCTTCCTATTTTTTCTCTTTTTTCTCTCACACATGTTATAAAGTCCAACTTAGTGTGTTATGGCCCTCATTGTTGAAATTTCCTAGGTACATAAAATAAATTTAGCCTATGAAGTTTTGAAACCCCGAATTTGTCCCTATATATACATGGTTAATAGCCTCTCTCTCTCATCAAGCAAAGAAGAGACTACACCCTAGTACGAATACACCACATCAACATGTATATATCTTCCAGTTACATATGGCCACATGTTAATTTTCTAAGGATGAAGTTGACACTTTAGTTTTACACTTCAAAATAAAATTGCTAAACTTAAAACAAAGAAAAAGGAGAGCCTCTACGTTTCATATTTACACCGTATTCAAGGAAAAAAAACAACCAAAAATTGTGATTTTACATTCGTTTCCACCTTAGAGCACTTCCAGCAGTTGGAATCTTGCCATGGCAAGGGGGGGCTAGGGCTGACACTATTCACAGGAATAGTGTCTACCCTTGCAAAAAGTAAGTTCCACTTCCAGCAGTTGCCATGGCAAGGGGGGGTACTATTCAATTTTTTGTTTTTTTCACAAATTTGTTTACCTAAACAATTAATTTGGACAATATATTCGGATGAGATTTTCTGATAAAATATTCGGATAAGATTTTCAGTTAAGATTTTCGGTTTCAAATTTCAGATAAATTTTTTTTCAAATTTCAGATTTTCAAATTTAATGCTTTGGTTGTGGTTAGTTTTTTTATACATTGAATGTTTTGAATAAAAAGGAATTTTATTTAATAGTTTCTTTGGTAACTCAAAGAAAACCAATACTACTAATACAATAAAATACATGAATTCCAACTAATTTTTAAAACAAATCATTAAAATACAATGAAATGAAAAGGCAAGCAAACTAACTTAAGGGTTTTCATCATTTAACCAATCCGTATTGCTAGGTCCATCATCACGAAAAAGTTTTCGTCTCATAATAGCCTTTCGTTCTAGCTTCCAATATTGTTTTGTTTCAGGAGACATGTGGCTTGTATCCATGGCCATGGTTTCCCGATCCTTCCTTTCTTCATTTTCTTTGCGTCGATACTCCCTTTCTTTGCGTACATACTCCCTTTCTTTAGCAAATTCTATTGCCATTGCCTTATCATCTTCTTGGACTTTCTTGTCTATTTCAATTCTCAAGGCGCTTTGCCTTGCAATTTCCTCCAAAAATTTAGAGGTATTACTCGTAGAATTAACTCCTCTCTTTGCCTTTGCCGCCTTCCTCCCCCATAGGCCTCGGCTCCTTTTGAATGGGTAAGTCTTCACTCATAGGGGATTCCATAGGCGAATCCGAAGCTTGTGAATCATGAAGTGGCGTCTCGTTTAACACCACCGTTGGAATAATGCTAAATCTTTTACAATGCTTCACCACCTCCCAACATTGGGTATGGGTGAAACTTTTTTTCCCTAGTCCAGTAGCACCATAGAACATTTGAGCTTGCACAATCTATATAAAAAAAAATTGAATAAGCAAGGAACTTTTAAAAAAAAATGGTAATGCAAAAAAGATAAACATATGAATGAAAATCCAAGAAATATTAACAACATATAAAGAATGCAAGAAACATTCAAATAAATATTAGAAATACAAAAAAAAAAAAAAAAAAAAATATAAAAAAAACATTCAAATAAATATGGAAATACAAGAAATATTAAAAAAATATAGAGAATGCAACAACCATTTATATAAATATTAGAAATACAAGAAATAAAAACAAAATATAAAGAATGCAAGAAACATTTAAATACATATGGAAATACAAGAAATATTAACAAAATATACCAATTGCAAGAAACATTAAAATTAAAATTAATAGGACATTAAAATTAATAAAATGAAAATTACAAGTAATTACCTCATCGCTTAGATTTTCCCCGCTTGCATGGTTATTCATCGCTTTTGTGAGGGCATCTCTCCATTTCCCCAACTCTTTGTTGAGAAGTTTCCACCGACTTGACAATGCGCTTTCCGTACGGGTGGAACCCGATCTTTCAACAAATTTGTGAAGAATTTTTTTCCACCTTTGACTGAATTTCATCTCATTACCCGATATGGGATCATGACTAATTTGGATCCAACACTCACACAACAAGACATCTTCCATGATGCTCCATGCCCCTCCGGTTTCTTGAGAAAAAGCCATAATGATAGAGAAAAATTATACTTAAAAATGAAAACAATTTAGAGTAAAAAGTGAGAAAATATTAAATAGAAAGTGAAAAATAGTTGGAGAAGGAGAAGATGTATGAGAATTTGTTGTTAAAACTGAAGAGTAGGTGTTGGTATTTATAGAAAAAAAGTCAGTATTTTTTGGGATTTTTTTAAAAAATTTTACGATTTTTTTTCATCATTTTTTGCCTGGAAAAATTCCAGGCCGTCGAATTGGCTGACAAGGCGAAATCGGAAGGACGAGAGGCTGCCACGTCGCATATTACCGTTGGGCGCAAAAGCTGACGCGCGATTTTGAATTTTTTTTAACGTTGGCGCGTGCAATGCATGCACCAACGGTAAAAAAAATTTACAACCGCGTGCTGACGTCACGCTAGCATCAGCGATGACGTCAGCTCGCACTCGGGCTCTCGCTCGGGCTGCCTCCGCCTTCGGGCCAGCCCAGGCAAGTGGACCCCACACTGCTCGGGCCAGCACTTGTTGCTGGAAGCTGCTTTTGGGCTCTCCCCCCCCAGCCCGAGCCCGAGTGGGCTGCTGGAAATGCCCATAATGCGACCAAAAAGCTGAGGGCAGGGTCAAAAATAACAAAAAAGTATAAACAAGTTTAGAGAATCTAAAAAATTATTGAAGTTGAAGACTCCAAATGAAGTACTGTCACACTTTGCACGTTGCAACCCCTTAAGTTGACCGAAAAAAGAAAAATAATTCAACAAGATTGTTCAAACTTGGAAGTCCACACTTTTGCAGCTGTAGCTCCCATTTCGCATATAATTCAGGCTCTAGCTATAAATATATTTTGCACAAAAATAAAAAATCATATGCTAATAATTTTTATTGGCTATAAATATCATCTTTGTCAGCTTTGTTGTACTCACTGAATAAATTTGGTCATGAAAATTTGTTTACCAAATATTATTGTGACAAATTTTCCCATTAATCAGACTAATATAGCTAGATTCTGCTGAATTTGGTCATCACATTTTGTTTGTCAAATCATGTGACTGAATTTACTCTAGATTTCATTTATTTTCAACAAGAGGAAAATGTATAATGACACATTATACAATGCTAAAAACTGTCATTTATGGGTAAATGACTCGCTAGTGTAGTGGTTTAGACTAATTATTCCAACAGGCAAGGTTCTGAGTTCAAATCCTAACATCCATGTTGTGTATGTGAGTTTAGTATATTATCGCCCCTCTCAATAAGAAAATTCCGAAAAAAACAAAAAAAAACTGTCATTTATGGGATTAAGCCCCATGGGTAAGCAATTATTTTGTCCTTGCATGAGCTTGGTGGGTAAGAACCCGTTTGAGACTACTTCTACAGAAAACACTTTTGCTGAAACCAAATTTTTGTTATATTGGATTTTCTAAACTGTCTCCCAGACTGATTCTTGCACGTGTAATATTAGCCTATTCTGAATTCAATAATTATATAATGGTCTTTTCGTTGAAGAAACAAATAAAATTAATTGAGAAGGACTTTCTTATAGAATAAAGAAACAGATCTGTCTATCATGAATGCATTCAAGAATGATTGCAGCCTGATCTTTGGCAGTGAAGATAGAAGCACATATATGCTGAACTCCATGATCTGAGAATGGTCACTTGGCAAAGTCCATGGAATTGGCTTCCTAAGCAGCTTCTTAAATATCTCTCTCCCATTTTGCATGGAAAAATGTCTCTAATAGTGGACTGCAGACCCGACTCTACAAAATTTAACATGATATTAGAGCAGAACTCGGATATATAGAACAAAATTAAGCTAATGCCCAATTGAAAGCCATGTGAAAATGAATTCAACATGAACATAAACAGTTAAGCTATGCAAATATGAACACGACCTGCAAATGTAACTTGTAACGCAACATGATTACGTTCACACGTTAAGGGATCTAATGGTATTAAATATTGGGTACTTAAACTCATTAGACAAGTTACCCGCCATGATTAAAACAAAAAATCATTTTTTTCTCCAACAAAAGACTTGAGTAAAACCAGTTTACATCAAAAGCTCATAGGTTAAACATTATACTTAAGAAAATGTCCTAATTATATAAGCTCAATTCGAATACTTGTACTATCTCTTTAAATAAATAAATAAATAAATATATATATATGGACATATGACTGTTTGTCAGGTCGGTTATGATTCGCTCCCACAACATTTTCATTGTCTTCTGAAGCCCCACAAGTTGAATATGAATAAAAAACATGTGAAGTTGTTGCTGACAAGCAAGATGGGGTTGGTGGAGATATTTTCAAGGCTTAATCTGGTAGTTGTCATAGTTGAACGATATTTCGAGTTCGAGTTCGAGTCCTTGTCAAGGACGATATATATTTATGATGACATTGATTGGAGGAATTGTAATTTTTGTAAATATCCCATTGTTTGTCAAAGTACTATTTAATGTAGTCTCTTGATAAATAAAAACAGGTAATTTATGTGGTGTCGGATTTATTATTGGTTTGTAACTAACTTAAGATTGGTTAGGCATGTTACTAACTTAATTTAAGATTTGTTCCTAACTTCTCTACATATGTTAAAGTAATAAGTGCTAGACTTTCGGCATTATGGCTTCTTTGTATTTTGTTATGTTTCATCAATAATTATTATCGCTTTGTAACTTAACTTAAGATTAGTTAGGCATGCTACTAACTTAATTTAAGATTTGTTCCTAACTTCTCTACATATGTTAAAGTAATAAAGTGCTAGATTTTCAGCATTATGGCTTCTTTGTATTTTGTTATGTTTCATCAATAATTATTATCGCTTTTTCTCAACAACAACAAAAATGCTAGATTTTCGTACCTTTTTGTAGTGTGACAAAAAATATAAATGGCTTTTTTGGTCGAAAGATATAGATGGCTATGAACAATGAGTTTTGGTTATATTACGTATGTCATTCATCAAAGCGCTCACCCCAACAAGAATTTAAGAGAAACCAAACTATGCAGTTCCCCAAACAATGGTCCTAAAATACCTTACAACTTTAGCCTACTTATTCTAGTTTTATTTATTTATTTAAGCTTGTATTTTTCAGAAGATTAAATTACATAGATTCTCTACGCATCACGTCTTATTTTTCTTAAAGATAAGATGATGAGTTAAGAAAAACTCACTTTTACTCAAATTTCTTCAACTTTTACTCAAATTTCTTCAACTTTGATTCCATGTAATATTAGCATGATACTTAAAAACCTAAACGATTAACCAATCCGAAACTAAAAATCTAAACTCTAAACTAAACGCCGATTGATTCTTCACCTTCAAACAATCAACTATGTCTATAAATAAGATTAAAGTTATAAAAAAACAAAAAACAAAAAATTGAAGTGAGGTCTTCTCAACACTTCATGTAACTCAAGTATAAAGAATAACTCTAGATTATTAAACTTAGCTTTTCTCGAAGAGGAGTGGAGATAACAAAAAAAAGAAAAAAAAAGGTTTAGAGATTTTAAAAAATTAATTAATTTTGAAGACTCCAAATGAAATAATTCACACTTTGCAACCCCTTGAAGTGGACCCAAAAAAGATAAATAAACAACAAAAAACTTGTTCAAATTTGGAAGTCCATATCCATACTTCCCGCAGCTGTAGGTAGCTCGCATTTCGCATATTCCCACTTGCTGTTGTAGTCAAACAACTCAGGCCCAAACCAACAGTAAACATATTTTGCACCCACAAAAAAAGTCATATGCCATAAATTTTTATTGGTCATAAAAATAATATTATAAAAAACATTAATCTGCCACCAAATAGGACTCACTCCCCATTCTCTTTCATCTCTCCAACTCCATTATCATCTTTGTCAGCGTTCGTTGTGGACTCGCTCAATAAATTTTGTCATCAAATTTTGTTTACCGAATATTACGGCAGTTTTTCCCTTTAATCAAAGCCAAGTTATCTAAACTCGGTTATGCTCACTAAATTAGTTCATCAAATTTTGTTTGCCAAATCTTGTGTAGCGGCTTGGTGTTGGTCGGTTGTGGCCTGAATTGTTGAAACTAATTTTTGTTATTTAGCGGACTATGCTCATAAACACTTTTCTTATAAGAACATCAAGGTTTTTGTTAAAAGTACGTCTTTAGAAAGCGTTTTTTTTTGACTTACAAGAACATAGTCAAAATCATTTCTAGTTGTTTGAAAGCTCATTTAGCTTTTCCAGAGGCAATTTAAAACAAACCCTAGAACTGTAGAGCAACAAAAACTTTTAATTAACATCGTTATCATGCTATCTAGAGTATACCCTTAAAAACAATTTATGTGGTGAGGACGGACACTCACATTTGGCCTTATGTTGGTCTGTCCCTGACTAAACTCAAAATTTCCTTAGAAAATGGAAAAATGTCAATGAATAAAATAGTTATCGTTATAAATTACAATGACATATCAGTAAGTAAATTTGTTCACTCTTCATTATCTTAGGAAGGGGAGGGGAAAACTCACACACACGGGTATCATAGGGGCTTGAATCCATGACCACCTGGGATCACACCAAAGGCATGAGCAATGTAACTAACACCCCATTATTTTTATTTTTATTATTTTTATTTTGTTATTGCCCCTTTATTTTACAGTTGGTTTTACAAAGAAAAATATTATAACATTATGCAACCACAAACAAAAAAAAGAATATATCATAGTAACATAGTGAGCAAGCGCGCATATTCAACGACTTTTTTGGCTCCAAATCCAATTCTTTAATTCTAAAGTACCAGGACGCCAGCTTGGACCAAACCAGTATCATCACCACCTACAACTACAAAAACCCATCTCTGAAAAAACTCCATCCTCAAATCAATCCCCACCTTCCCATTCCCAATCTCTCTGCGTGAGATTTCAAGTTTTGGGATTTTGGGTTTTCTTCTCCTCTTCAGATCTCGAGATGGGTACCTTGGGGACTTTGATGAAACATCCGGATGACATTTACCCGCTTTTGAAGCTCAAAATGGCAGCCAAGAACTTAGAGAAGCAGATCCCTCCAGAGCCCCATTGGGCTTTCTGTTATTCCATGCTTCACAAGGTGTCTCGTAGTTTTGCTCTCGTTATTCAACAGCTCGGCACTGAGCTTCGTAACGCTGTAAGTTTTGTTTCTTCGTTTGGTATATACATGTAAGTGTTTGTTTCTGTATCTGCTTTTCTTTTTCCAAGTGGTGATTTGTGGGTTTACGGGAATTTACTTGATTATGGTATTGACTGTTGATTTATCGGGGGATTAATTTTTTTTTAATTTTTTTTTATGGCCTGTGTTTAGTAGAATTGAAATTATATTGGTGATTTGTTCCTTTTTGGCTGAAGGGTGATGCTAATGGTTCACATCTGTCCATCTTCTCTAGGCAGTCAATTTTGTCGCTTATAAGAAAGAGGGTAGTCAATCTTATTGTGGTTTAAATGAAGAGAAAATTGGTATTATTTACTGAGGGTATTTTGATGGGTATCGGATTATCTACTTTGTGGAATATGAAAATTGGTTTTGATTGGTAAATTGTTTTTATGTTTATTATTTGTCTTTCTCTGTATTTTCTGGAATATGAATCGTATATGTAAGCATGAACTTGATTGAAGGCTAGACATGGAGTAATTTTCAGTTCTGGCCTTAATTCTTTTGGGGAACAGATTGTTGTTTACTGTTATAATTTCTTGTTCTTAAGGTCCTTACAGACTACTGCATTTCATTTCTCTTGCATTTTCCATCTTTTGTTTGATTTTATTGTCATTTTCTGATGTTGACTTTTGCGGTTTTGCAGGTCTGTATATTTTATCTGGTTCTTCGAGCTCTAGACACTGTTGGTATGTTTCTATTATCTTTAGTCTTTTGCTTCCTAATATTAGATTGAATGTAGCTTGTTGCATCTTAAGTCTCTATTTGAAATAATCACCCTTGTGCAGGTTTGCTCTGTGCATTATGTAGCATGACCTGTTTAACTTTTTCTTTTCCTTCATCACACTTATGATGCTAATGTATTAATTCAACATGTTTTCAATGATATAATTTGTTCTGATGGACTCTATACAGAGGATGATACAAGCATTGCAACAGATGTCAAAGTCCCCATCTTGATAGCATTTCATCGTCATATATATGACCGCGATTGGCATTTTTCATGTGAGTGGTTTAAGATTACAATACCACATTATTCACGTTTGCTGTTCCCTGTATCCTATGGACGTGAAATTATGTTGTATAACTTTACTATGCAGTGAAAATCTTGTTTCGATAAATGGTACACACACGCACGCACACACCACACACATGTATACATTTAAAATTATATATATGGGTAGTTTTATCTAATCAAGAACATGCTTTTCAGCCATGTGATCACGTGGACGGTTAAGATGCACAGTTGATAAACATCTTAATGCACTGAACTATCCATAGTTGATCTAGTAACTGAGAAAGGGGTCCTTGCACAAGTTTAGTAGTGAAAAATTATACACATATAAAAGCGTATATATATATATATATGTATATATATGATAAAGTTCCCTAGAAACGTGGTCTTGATGAAAAAAAGGGAGGAAGGAGTGCAGGATGACTATTTTTGAATGCTAAGAACAGTTCTCTAGAAATATTGTCATCTGTTTGAAAATATGATAAAAGATTGAACTGTAACCAGAAAATATCCGAGTAACCGCTTTCCCTGCCTCTGTTAGAAAGTATTTTCCTCTATGTTTTCCTGTCAACGGTAAGTTTTACCAGCTGGCATTCAGTGGATTGCACAAATTTTATTGTTTTCTTTATGTATTAAAAAAGAAACAAATAAAAGAACATAAAGCTCAGGTAGTATTGTTCTAGGTCCATGGTACGTATGGTACATGCACAGTTGTACATTACTATGTTGATGAGACTTGTTGTCTGCTTGCTCAATATCCTTCTTCCTTGTCTTCAGGTGGTACAAAGGACTACAAAGTTCTCATGGACCAGTTTCATCATGTTTCAACTGCTTTTCTGGAACTCGGGAAAGGGTAATTTCTTATCCTTGTATATTTCCTTGATTAATTGTTGAACAGATCTTTTGTGAATGGGACTTTTTTGTCCATTCATAATAATTCATGGTACAGCTTCTCTATCAATGGACTGATTGAAAATAATCTCTGATTCCTTTCTCATTTTCCTAATCTTTTCACGCTTGTTACTGTTATGAGGGTTCATCCAAAGGAACGTCAATTAGTTATTTAGTATTTCATGTAGCTCATAAACAATTCTGAGGTGATAAGTGTGGTTCATGAACTTGATGGTTCATACCAGTTACTGCTAACACACACAGGCACACGTGCAGACACACACGCACATGTGCAGACACAAGCACAAATCTAGGTCATGAATTATTTTTAGCCAGTGAATGTGTGGAGCTTTTTTAGCACAAGTCTTAAGCGTATTTAAGATTGGTGTGGTTAAACTCTTTCTAAAAACTCAGATTCATATTTAACTTTGTTATTATTATTTTAAAATAAAAATGGTTTTAAACATTGAGCTTTAAATTTGAAAATCCTTTGAACATTCAACGATGCATAGTTCAACCCTTTATTCAACCTCTTCCATAAATATGAGTATTAATATACAAAGTTTTTGAAGAACCTTACACAGGATTCTTGAAATATATTGAACCTCTAATGATTTCATTAGGTTGATATTGACTGAATTCTCTTGCATGTTCTAGCACAATACACTTGCCCTTGTAACTCAGTAATGTTGTTTCTTTCATCCGTACTTCTCTGTAATAATGATAGCTCCACATCAGAGAGTGTTCTTGGTGATTATAAGATAAATTTTATGGGACTAAAGTTTCCTCAACATTTCAGCTATATGGATGAAAACTTTGATGAAATTACTTAGCATGGCACATCTGATATTTTAGGGAAATGTCTTTTACTATTATGTTGATCATGTGATACCTGATGAATGTGTAATTCTGGTGCTTCATATGCTAAATTATTTTTTAATTAGAACACCTAAATAGGAATGGTGATGTCCAATCTAACTGACTGTGAGACACTCCAGGTTCATAGAGAAGTTTTGACTTTGGAAAAATATGGTGAAGATTCTGATGCTTGTTCATTTTAATGAGTGTACGGTTTGGGGTTGGTTTGTTGAACTTGGAAATATTCTTATTGCATGATGAAATTGTGATCTATAAGATATTATTCATCTTCATGTTGTAACAACTCTTTGCTTACACTTTTTTTCTTTATAGTATACATTCATATATGATTGGAGTTTTCATTGTACATTTATTTGATAAGCAATCGGTATGCTAATTCTGCAGTTATCAGGAGGCAATTGAGGATATTACCAAAAGAATGGGTGCAGGAATGGCAAAATTTATCTGCAAGGAGGTTTGTGATGCACTTAGTTGAGACCTTACCTGCAAAGGGTGGATATATTCTGTTGTGTCATGTTTCTCATGTTTCTCATGTTTTAATTAAAATAAAACCCCATTTCAAAAACCTTTCTGACATGGTTTACATTGTTTCTTGACATGTATGTTAGATACTTTTGAAATATATTCAATTCTTTTCCATGTATGTACAAATATATGATATATAATCGTTTTGATTTGGACTAGTATGGAATGTTTATGGACAGCGTAGTTATATTTTGAATGCTAAGGGAAAAAAGAAAGACAAATGTAGATCAACCATAGAAAGGGTATATGGTATCTGTTTTAAACTAGGACTTTCTTAAGTAATTTAAATATTGAGTTAAAACTATATAGAAAAAAAAATGTTTCTGTGGTCAACCACTTAGTTGAGACCTAGCCTGGTTTCCACAATTTATAAGCATCTTTCTGGTTTCCAACCTATGGACCATAATTTGTGCATATAAACAAGCACATTGGCTAGCTTAATGTTTTTGCACTATGGAAAATCAGATTCTGCAAAGAAGTGGTTAAAAATATATCAAATTTGAATTATTTTTCCATGCATGAGATTTTCATTTCCAATATTATTAACAATGTACTTTTTGCACAATGTGCATAAAGGCCAGGTGTAGTTCTTTATGTGATTTGGATATATTTTCTCTCATATTGCAGGTAGAAACTGTTGATGACTATGATGAGTACTGCCACTATGTGGCAGGGCTTGTTGGTTTAGGTTTGTCCAAGCTTTTCCACGCTGCTGATAAGGAAGATTTGGCCTCGGATTCTCTCTCAAATTCAATGGGCTTATTTCTTCAGGTATAACATAATATTGATGCAAGAAATGCTTTCTGCTCTCTGTCTCAAATTGGCTTGATAGTTGTTTCTAATTCTACAATGTTTGGATCTAATAAATAACAGAAAACAAACATCATTCGGGATTATTTGGAGGATATTAATGAGATACCGAAGTCTCGCATGTTTTGGCCACGTCAGATCTGGAGTAAATATGTTAACAAACTTGAGGTGCTTCTTCTTTACTTTTATACTTTAAAAGCTTCCTATGTTATTCCTATCATTTTGGCTTCCCAACTGCTTATACTTCATTTTATTTCTAATCATTCATAATTGAGGCTTAGAATAGTGGGGTGATATAAGAATTTATGCATCGCCCAGTGCAAAGTTGGAATTCTTGTCTGAGCTGGATTTTTTGATGATTGCAACTCAGGACTTAAAATATGAGGAAAACTCAGACAAGGCTGTGCAATGCTTGAATGACATGGTCACTAATGCGTTGATACATGTGGAAGATTGCTTGAAGTACATGGCTGCTTTAAGAGATCCTGCAATATTTAAATTTTGTGCCATCCCTCAGGTAGATTATTTCTCAACTATATCACAACTATTAGTCTTGTGTGTGCATGTGTCGTAATCTGACATGTGTATTTTACTTAGTTATATAACAAACACAAAGATTGGTAGGATTAATTGATTGGTTCTATACTATTTTTGTGCTTCGCATATGATGCGATCTTGATAAACATTGTTCGCCCATAACAGCTTTAGATTTTGGATCTAGCTGTTGTATATCATGGTTTTAGAGCTTTGTTTGCAAGATCGGACAACAAAGAAGCCTTGTTTGCAAGAGCTGCATGAGGTGATATTTATTCAGTCCAGCTTAATTAGGTTATTGGACCATCTGGATTGATTAGCCGATTCCAAATGACCCTTTAGTTCTATGTACAAGTCATAAAAGATCCTATTGACTTGTAACTGATTTTTTATGACTTGTAACTTTGATTGGAAGTTGGACCAGTGAAATGATATTGATCTAAGAATTGTAGGTTTATAATATTCTATGTGTCTATCAAATTTTAGTACATTTCAGATGTCAGTTTGATTTATTCAGAGTGACTGGAATCAATTGCTGGTCATCAGTATTTAGTGCTGTTGCTTCCAACATATATTGCCTATTTAAACTAAATAGCATCTCTCTGGATGTATTTTGTTTCCTTCAAGTTGATGGTCTAGATGTAGATTGTTTCTATTCTCAAACCTTTGAAATTCTAATAGGAAGTCTTCAGATTGTGTTTATCATGCCTTTTGGACAAAATTCAATATAATGCCTTCTGATTTCATTGGCTGCAGTGTAATTTCTTAACCATGGTTTTCTCTAAGTAATCTCATCTGATTTGTGCTGGCTTTACTAGATCATGGCAATTGGCACGCTGGCATTATGCTACAACAACATTGAGCTCTTCAGAGGTGTAGTCAAAATGAGGAGGGGTAAGATTTTAATCTATGAACATGGTATTCCTTTCAGTTTAAACTGTATACATTTTGAGATAATGAAATTAAAAACAAGTGCATATGGAATTTATAAAGAAATGGCTTTGTAAAATAGGGTAGTATGCATGTGCTATGAGATGGTCATTTGGCAGATAGTGGCAGCTACTGAAATTCTACTCGTCTTAGCAATATTATTTTCATAGTAACGCATCGTTAGAGACTATATAGAGATTTTGTTAGAAATTTTGGGAAGCTTACACTGTTGGAGACTACTCTATAGACGAGCACATGTTAGTAACTACAGTTAGTTTTATACATTTTTAATGGAAATGCTCTACAAAATCATGTCATGATAAAAATTATATGTTAGAAAAATGGAAGTACCGTGACTACACGTTGACTATGTCTCAACCTCTCTGCCCTTCATCCACTTCTGTCTTTAACTCTACTTATATTCGAAGGCCTCCTCTCTCATTTTATTACGGTTTGTGATGTTTTGGATTGAATAAGTATTGGGCTGTTGTATAGTTTTTGGTCATACTTGTGATTTTGTCATAATTCTTTACTAAACAGTGTTCAATTAATTGCTATGTTTTGTAGGCCTTACAGCAAAAGTCATTGACCGAACAAAATCAATGGATGATGTCTATGGTGCTTTCTTTGATTTTTCTTCCATTTTAAAGTCCAAGGTATGATAATTCCAGAAACAAGATATATATGATCTTGTAACTAAATTGCTTTAACTTCATACTAAATCATGGGTGAGACTTATTGTGAATGGCTTTACTGTGTTACAATTTTCAGAGGTTCTTGACAGATTAAAATTAATTTTCGGCTGCAGGTTGACAAGAATGACCCTAATGCAACAAAAACATTGAGCAGGCTGGAAGCAGTACAGAAAACATGCAGAGCCTCTGGAGCCCTGAGCAAAAGGTATTTCATACTTTCTGGCTGTCCTATCTAAATATTGAACATTCTTCCTTCTTCATTGTCTGACAAGTACCTATGGACTACACCAGGAAATCCTACATCGTCAAGGGTGAGCCGAGCTACAATTCAACTCTGGTGAGTTTCTTCTAGATATAGAAAATTAAAAGTGAAACGATTAGTATCATTCCAGAAAATACATACTGATGAATCTACATTCTGAATGCAGATTGTGGCACTGTTTATTATATTGGCCATCGTTTACGCTTACCTCTCTGCCAGCCCAAGAATCTAATGTAAGTTTTCGTCACAAGAGCGATGGATCACTGGTCTCATGGCCTTCAGTTCTGTTAGAAAGCAAACCACTACCTCTTGCCCAACTCCGTTTCTTTTGCTGTGCAGAGTTTGCATTCTTCAATATCCCAAGACATAAATGGCTGGTTACAAAAGTACAGGCCTTGTTCCATCAAACCAAAGTAGTTATTTTATATTTTTTATGCAATAATGACAATGCTGCTACGGTTGTATATTCGATATAAAGTCGCTTGAAATTATTGATGTAGCTTTCAACACCATTAGCATAGTTATTGCTGACATACAAGTGAGCATTTGTGCTATTTTTTATTTTTAAGGAATAAAAATTTATGCATCTCCTATACTAAAATATGTAATCCAATAACCTAAAAACTAAGAATTGGATAGAAGTAGTCAAAACAAACTCCCACCCATAGCTAAAATATAAAATCAAGTAATGTATATAGGCAGGAAAGAAGAAGAAATAAATAGTATAATGAAGTCCAACAGGCCAGCACAAAAAACTCTAAACTATGCGATGACTAGCTCTAGGACAAGTTACACAAGAAAATTATATCGAGCGTGCGCATAACGTGTTGTAAAAGTAAAGAGAGAAATATGAGAGAATTCAAAGTTTGTCTTTTTCTTCGTTTTTTTGGCCAATCCTTTTCCTTTTTCCTTTTACTTTTTTTTTTAAATACAAGTGATAGCCTACAAAGAGATGATGTTTCTCAAACACACTATCAAGGTGTCATGGAGTTCGTGTTGGAATTTTTGAGTTCGTGTTATTATTACTATCTTTATTGAATTGAAATTTTAAATGTGTTAAATGGTCGTTTAATTCTTTTAAAGTCGAGATTTCAAAACTTTTTCCTCTTGGTATAGCAGGTCTGGACGTGTTCTATTGATATTAATAGCTTTAATCTCTTTTGGCAGTTTTGTTTTGGATTTTAATGTCTTAAATTTTGAGATAACGTGAAGGCCAAATTTAACTGGCTATGATTTACTTGTGTATTAATTTGATATATTCATATTTGGTTTTAAACCATGTTAACGTGGGCAACTTATTGCTTTTAACGGTGGGAGCATTTTATGCCGTTTAATTGCTTGTTTAATAACCAAACTTCAATTTGTTTTCTTTTATCAAGGAAAGATTTGAGTTGTTCATCCAATCCAAGTATGACGAGTGTACTCTTATGAGGGTCATAGGTTGTATCTTGGAGGGTAGGACGCCATACAACCTTGCTACACAAAATCATTGTCTTTGAGGGGCGAAATCTACTCTTAAGAACAGTGAATGACACGCCTTAACCTAAAGCTATTAATCTACTCAAACATGAATGGAGAAGGATCTTCTATGCCCCTAAAGATAAATATTTTGCTGTAATTTCATTGCCTTTATTTAATATACTCTATCAATGCAAATTACAATTTTCTAATAATTATTTCATATGATGTTTTGCAGGAAAAGTAGCATCCTTCAACCAAATTTTCCAACAATCTTAAAAAGTAAATTTCGCCCCTTGGAGACAAAACACTTAGGTTGTGTTTGGTACCCCTCACTGGGCTAGACTGGCTTAAATAGCACTAGAAACCCAAGTTTGGTAAGAGGGGGGACTAACTTAAATGAGATTATATAGTCAAACAATGGAAAAAAACCCTTCACTCGCTCCTCTAATATAGTAAAATTGAAAAGTGGTTCGCAAAATAGTGAACTCGCTAAATAGAAAACGCGAGTTAGAACTTCACCAATTTCTTCTTCTTCTTCACATGGAATTGGATTTTCTGGATTTGTATTTTTAGTAAATTGTATCGACACCAAAAACCATTCCCAATTAGACACCATCACCATTGCATAACCCAAAAACTTGACATCTCTACCTCCCTTGCACAACCACAACATCCCCTGCACAATCGAGAGTGACATATTTTGGGGAAAAAAAAAAAAAAAAAAAAAAAAATAAAGATGATTTGAAGAATTTTTGGAAAATAGAAGAAGATTAGGCCATCTCTAGCCATGGGTTATATCCCAAATATACCCCTAAAATAATGTAAAACCCATCTCCAGCCATGGGCTAAACAAATTTTGGCCAAATTTTGGAGGGCTAAATTTTTAGCCATGGACTACATTTAGCCATATGATTGGAGATGGCCTTGATTGTGGGTCTGTCACCTTTGGAAATGTTTCTTCCCCAATTAATGGGCTGCTGCGTTTCCCTCTTTCATCGCCTCATCCAATAGGACCCCATCATCATCATAATCATCCCCATATTATTCGTAATTAGGGGCAAAGTGTGGTGATAAGGAGGAGAAGAGGCATGGTTGTGTTTGTGGAAAGCATGGCCTGAGTTGTGTGGTTTGGAGAGGTAGGCAAATGGTTTTGAGGAGGATCGTAGGTGGTGAGGTGACAGGGAGAGGAAGAAGAGAAGATATTGTGGTTTTCTCAAATATTTTATTATTTTAGCTTAAATTTTATTTATTAATTGTTTATATCCACTATGATGTTATTATCTAGTTTTTTTAATAGAATTTTACTATTTTTTTAATTATTTTTTTAGAATATAAATTAACAAAAATACACTTGAAAAATAGCTTGCATATTATTATTCTAAAAAAGATATCAGAAAACCTTTAAAAAATTACAAATTTATAAATAAACCCAATCCTAGACATGTATTTATAAAAAAAACCAAAGCACTATTTAACATAGAAACACACCCAAAATCAACCCCAAAATCAACAATTGTATATTTTTTGGGTGTGTTTATAAATGGATTTTGAGTGTGTGTAATGATGGGCTTTGGGTGTGTTCATAAAGTGTTTTGGGTGTTGGGTTTTTTTATAATTTCAGCCCCCATTTGGGTGTTTTAGTGAAACTCCCTTAAAAAATATCAGAATCCTTAATTAAATTTAAATATTACAATATTTATTTTTAGTCCGACACAATACCAAACATAGATCTTCACTATTTTTACAATCTACCTTCTTAGTTCGACGCAACACCAAATGTAGGTCGGTACTTAATCCAGCTTAGTCCAATCCAAGTCAATCCAAGACAGTTCCAAGATTTAATCCAGTCAATGACAGTCCGCCGTACCTAACGACCCCTTATTGTCTTAAAGAAGTTTCTATTGAGAATCGAGAAGATATATAGTGACAACTTGGATATGCGATCATGATTTATGCCATTTGGAGTGCACAAAAAGGAACCTAAAGCACTTGGTCTACAAGTTAATGTCTCTTTCCATTAGGTTAGACCCCGTTGACTTTTCCTTAAACTTCTTTATATATAATAAATTGAATTATCGAACACAAATGGTACTTAATAATAATAATGGTACAATTCAAATTCAATGCAACAACTACCATAAATAGCATGTCTGCCTCTCATTCTATAACTATGATCTAGAACTTCGTTCATTGCAACATTAAGACACTTTTTACAAGCACCATACCAATAGAAATTTCGAACAAGAACCCAACCTTCTCGACTCTTCTTTTCCTCCCAACCCAAAGCTAACACAGATATGTTTTTCTCCTTGGTTCCAGGGGATTTCCCCTGGAACCACCCCCTTCGGTTAATAATCCGAGCCTCTCTCCCCCCCCGTTATGTTGTGGAGAGGTTTTCCCTCCCAACTTTTGTTGGGTTTTGTGTACTCCTTGCTGTTGCAAGGGTTTGTTTCTTCCCTCTTTTCTTGAGGGTCTGGTTCCCTTTCTTTTAGGGCTGATTTTTGGCTGATCTTGCTAGATCTGCTATTTGTGTGGTAGATCTAGTGTTGATCTTTCTATTTTGGAGGTGGAGCTGCTGATTTTGGTGGATCTACTTTGTTGTGCTTGCGGATCAAGGGGGATTAGGAGATGCTGTGATATTCTTTGGAATATCCTGGTGGAAGTTGAGCGGTATTGCCCTCCATCCTTGGGGTATTTCCTGTCCCATGAAGTATGAGAATTTGTTCTCTGTCTTGATCTCTCTTAAGCACTGGTTGCTGCAGAAATATGATCCTTATCATCTGTAACTCCTTGTTAGATGGGTTTAAAGTTGTAAATTTGTTTTCTAACTATCTTGTAATACTTGAGCTAAGTTGGTGGTGTTGTTAAATTTTGTATTGCAAGAACCTCCTTCCAGGGCTGTGTTCTTATGGTTGTAATCTGGGTTTGTGCCCTGTTTCTTCAATTGAAGTGCTACTGTTTCACAAAAAAAAAAGACACTTTTTACAATTTACGTCAAAAAGCTCACTAGTACAGTCAACAGTACCATAAAGGTATTTCTTATCTAATACTTGTTGTTTCCCCCGAGCATAGAATGGTCCACGAATAGTTTTAGAACTTAATCTAGTGAATAGTTGACGAAGTCTTTTCAGCATGGGATGATCATTGAAATCAACATTTATCAAGTAAAACCCATTATTTCTGTCATCTTTACCAATGAAATCTACATCTGAGTATTTTAAAATGCATCATTCAATCCAAATGATAGCTCCTCGATTGAGAGGGCAATGCTTGTGAAGCTCTAGACCTATTGTACTGATACAACTTTGGCATGAAGCAAAGACCTTATTTTCCGAAATAGAGTTTCAACGTTGTGCTAGCCCATATACAGAAGTATTTTTTTCTATTGTAGATTTAGATGTGTTAATGAGTCCACTTCGGAATCCTGAATGAGAAATTTATTTAGATAATACTTCTGTCACTAATGTGTTCAAGTTTTCCTCATAATATCCGTTGACTAGAAATTCTACCCGATTGAAACAGGTATCTGCCAAAATATGATGTTCGAATTTTCCAAAGTTCATTTGGAGAAAAAGAGAAAAAAAAAACAGAAGAGTATAAAAGATTGAGTAAAACATGTTTAATTTGAACAAGGATTCAATTAATTATTAGAACATAGATATGTATCACAATTATGCTGCTTCTATTTATATATGATATAGTATTGTCTGCCATAAAGTAGTATAAATGTAACACAATAATTATATATAAATCTATGTGATTACCAATTCG